CTGTAACTCTGACGAACGATTAAAGGAAGAAAATGGAGGTTCAGTTCGTGTTTAAACAGCAGTTTGTTGGACTGAAAAAGGAGGAAAACGTGTGTTTCCAGAGTCAGACCGTCTGGGGCGCTATCCCAGCATGCACCAGGGCGTTTTGTCCTGGTCGCACACCAGTTTGGTGTTGATGATGGTGCAGGGGGCGCCGCTGATGGTCAGCTCCTGCCGGGACTCCACCTGGTACTGCAGGTTGGTCAGTCCCCCCTCAGGGTCCACCTTAAACTGCTCCTGGAGCCAGAGAGAGAAGAAAAGGTTTAAGGATTTATTAGAGATGGGGAAATACTGACAGGAGAGCTACAGAAAGACCCCAAAAATGACCAAAAGAGGCCAAATTATACCAGAAAACGAGCACTAACAAGAAAGATTTTTATCAGAAAACGCACAAAACAAGCACAAGAGGATAAAAAACTATGGAAAAAAAGGCTTTTCACACAAGAAAAACCAAATAAATGGACAAAAGTGCATAAAACCATCACAAAAACACACAAAGAGAGCTATTAAAAGTAATAAAAAGACCAAAAGAAACAAAATTATACCAGGAAATCCACAAAACGAGCACAAAAGGATAAAAAATAATGGAAAAAGTGGCATATCAGACAAAAAACTACAACAAAAAACATGATAAATGGACAAAAGCGCATAAAACCATTAAAGAATGGTGAAATACTGAAAGGAAACTTACAGAAAGACCCACAAAACCACCCAAAGAGAGCATTAAAACTCATGAAAATACCAAAAGAGGCAAAATTATACCAGAAAACGCACAAAACGAGCACAAAAGAATAAAAAAACAATGGAAAAAGAGGCATTTTAGACATAACACTACGAGGAAATTTTTGTCGAAAAGCGCATTAAAACCATCAAAAAGACACACAAAGCAGCAGTTAAACGTCATAAAATGACCAAAAAGAGGCAGAATTCTACTACAAAACGCATAAAACGAGCAAAAACAAGAAATATTTTATCAGAAAATGCTAAAGAGACCACAAAAAGATAAAAACAAACAAAAAGGCTTTTCAGTCATTAAACTACCAGAAAAAAATAAATAAATGGAGAAATAAATGGAGATAAGCACATAAAACCACCAAAAAGACACAAAGCAGACATTAAACATCATAAAATTACCAAAAAGGGGCAAAATTATACCATAAAACGGTCAAAACGAGCACAAAACGAGCACAAAAAGATAAAAAAAACCATAGTAAAAAATGCTCTTCAGCCATAGAACTACCAGAAAAAACACAATAAATGGACAAAAGTGCAAAATGACACAGAGCAGCCATCAAAAGTAATTAAAAGCCAAAAAAGAGTCAGAATTACTCCGTAAAACGCTGTGGGGAAGAGATATCA